TGACATTTAGAAGACTTTGGGCTCAAAAGACCCTATACAAATGGAAGAAAAGAGAAACAGTTAAACCAACAAGCGGAGAGTTAAAAAAAGAGAGGGGGCAATATAATAATGTATAGGAATAAAAACTAAGCCTCTGTTTTGTCAAGGCCTGGCTATGTCGAAATCAGGATTGTTCAGCAGAAATATAAATCTGGTAGTAAATATGACTTTAAATTTTATAAAAGCCATATCCAAATAACAAGAGAAGCAGAGTTATAACTGTACTTAATAGTATGTATTGTGTAAATTAATATCTAAAATAAAATTTATTACCTATCTAAGTATTTGAGACCTAGTATAGATTACAAACGGCTAGCACACCTAGTTCAGATGAAATACATTATAGTACCTGGTAGCCCTAAGAAGCAAGTGCCTACCATATTGGATAGTACAAAAAAAAGAGATTTATGCATGCAAAATGTAATTTCTACAACAAGCCTTGATACAGTTGATGTGGGATGGCGACAAAATAACAACAAAAAAAATCACCTAAACTGTGAGAAATCTATTTAATCTAGCCATTAATTCAGTATTTATGAATACTGAAGAAACACATTATCTTGTCCATTTTCCATTTTATTTTTAAGAAGAACACATAGAGGGGGAAAATAGCAGACACTGAAACATAAGAGTGTGGACACGAGGGAGTCATAGCAATGGGAATTCAATGTAACGATTAATGTGTTTCCCCAGGTAATATTTAATATGGTGCTCAAATTGATCTATTGAACGTGTGGTTTTTTCATAAGAAAGTGATGTGACATTAAAAATAGATTATTTGGTCATCATAGAGATGTGGGATGAGAAAAGACTTGGGTGTCTGAGGTATTTGTATATCATAGAAAGCTAAGAAAATCATAACCAAAGTTACTGACACAACCTTTACTTATGGATTGCCAGTCCTGAAGCAGGTACTATGCTCCTGGGGTGGGGCGGGAGGTCTTGTCTATATGGAAGGAATTTATTTTCCTTTTTCTTACAGATACAGTAAATACTATTGGTGTTTTTCTCCTTGTTACTTTCTTTTCTTCCTTCGCTGGATGGAACCACCTGCTTAGACCAAGCTGGTCTGGAAGTCACAGGGATCTGTCTATCTCTCCATACCTCATACAGAGATTAAAGACATTTGCTGTAGTAATACCTGGGTAGTTCTGTTTTGTTTTAATCTTCTCTTTCAAAAAATATCCCTCTTCAGCTTTGGTAATCAAAGTAACCATCCCCTAACCTTAGAGTTGCTGAAAGATGAGAAAGCCAGGACATGAAAACAAAGGAAGTTTGGACACCTCTTTCTTAGATGGATACAACAGGGAGGTCAGTTCATTCACCCAGGTGCCATGACTCTTTGTTAGCTTCCCGTGTGTGTGTGTGTGTGTGTGTGTGTGTGTGTGTGTGTGTGTGTGTCTGTGTCTGTGTCTGTGCCTGTGTGATACATTGATGGTAAGATGGTTATTTGGAAGCCTAAGTTGAGATGCTGAATCGAACTTAAAAATGAAGTCATACCTGTCCCTGATGCAAGAGTGATCTGGGTTACTGGTACAAAGGTAAAGATATTCTTTATTATTAGGTAATGTGGCACACAGCTTCATGAAGTAACTAAGACCACTCTGCAATTCCAAGGTTTAGGAAAATGTACCGCAGCCACAGTTATTAAGAATTGATAATAGCAAATTTAGTGGTAAAAGTAGCAGCAAACTCTAGTAATCAATAATACTTAAAATTCTTTAAACTGCAACTACACTCTTGGGTGGCAAAAGAACTTATCATACATCATTCATTTAGGAACCTTTGAAGTCCTAGGTATGGGTAAAATATGGAAGACTGTTGCTAAGGATACTGATAGAGCTTGTGTACTGACTAGGAAGAGTCCCAAGAAGGCTGGAGCCAATACCTAGACCTTCCTTCCCTTGGATTGCATCTCTAGGAGAGTATAGTTACTAAAATTTAGTCTAAAGTCATATTGCTAAGGATCTTACATTTCTTTGAGGTCAACATATGTTTTGCATAACTTAAATGTGGCCTTGTAAACTTTCCTCTGGACAGCTTTCCTCTGACCCTCCAGCATGGCAGAGACTTCCAGTGATGGCAAAATGAAATCATGGTAGAGTTGATACCCATTGTTCCTAGATGCAAGTTAGCTAGTGAAATGACTCTCTCCAGGATTGATCTTTGCATAACTATCAAGGCTGTAGAAATTAGTTTGAGATCAGAATCTGTCATAAAAAAATTAATCATAGGGAGCTACTGCTGGAGACCCCTGGCAGTCTCCTCATGATGCTGTCCACACGTGTCCCCTTTGAGCCAACCTAGCATCAGTTTCTTTCAGTGAATGGAATAAACACAAACAACAGAAACAATGTTGTTATAGAGAACAGTAATAATTAATAATGGACGATAGGTTTGTTTCTTATTGGACATTGGTGATTAATGTGCTATACATACAATGTTAAATCATTCTTCTCCAAACACTTAATAAGAGTAACTGTAACTAATTATTATAAGCCTAATGCTGGCAAAAACTGATGCTCAGGAAGTTGCTCATTATATCCAACGTAAAATATTAGTAAATGAAAGAACAAGGAATTGACCCCAAATCTGTCTAATCTAGAATTCACGATACTAAACATTTTAGAACCGCTCTACAAAAGATTGGCCTATTTATGGTTACATATTTATCTGATGCATCATGGGAGTGGTGCATGTCTGTGGGCAAATTTATATCACCAACTATCACACAGTCAACACACCATGTATCACCTTGAAACATTTCAATTGCTGTCTGCACCATTTAATTGGTGACTAAGATAAAGGCAAAGGCAGACATTACAACCATAGGGTTCACTCTTTCTTTTTCTTGTAAACAGATAAGCTTTGTAAATGGTATTAGGTATAATGTTACAGATTTGAAGACAATTCATAATTGGACATCACAGGTGTGGAAGGAAATCTTAGAAAGGTGGTTTGGGGAGAACCACAGATTAGACAATGGGAATGACATCTGAGGGTCAAATACTTGAAACCAGTAGATTTGGAGTTGGAGGCTAACATCTGACTTTTTCTTGATGGGTTATATTCAATACATGGATTCTTGACAGCTTAAAGGATCTTACTTGTAAGGTGAAGTTGCTGTAAAATCTATATAAAGCAATACACACACACACACACACACACAGACCACATGAGAGGCAATACAGAAGTATAGTAAAATAAAGCATGGGGGTTAAGGAAATAGCAGCATGGTAAAGGTAGATCTAAGGATATTCTCATTTTGGAAAGACCCTTGAAGACAGAATGTGGACAAGGCCAGAGTATGACAGAAAAAATATTTTAAACATATTATGTCATATTTGTGACCAACACTGGACAATCTCTCTAAAAGGATGACTAATTCATGTTATTATTATTATTTTTTTTGCATCCCATCACAGCTTTGAACCTACATAAGCCCCTTTGAGAGTCATAATTTCATTGAGGATTTTAGTACAAGTCTGAAGGCTTGTGCTAAATGTTCTAGATGGTTGGATGAGCTCAGATATTATCTGATGCTCTCATGAAAGGTGAGGATTGTTATTCAGGACTGACCTTTCCACTTCAGGGAGAGAATCCTGGTATCGACTAACCAAAGACTGCTGAACTTGGCGCCTGGACTTGAGTTGTCCCCAACACCAAGCCAACCCCATGAGAGAGACCGAGGAACTGCCACCAGGTGGCACCAACCTACAGTTAGGAAACAACGTATTTGCTGAGCCCCATGTTGCTGCCAGGATGACTGGGACTAATGATGGCCCCACATATTTGGTGACTGTATTTCAGTCAGAGAACAAAAGTTAAGGCAGATAATTTATTCCCATTTATACAGTACACTACTGTCAATGGCCCAAACTCAGGCTACACAGCTTGCACTCTTTAGGAATATAGGACCAGATGTCTAATGGCTTGAGCTCAAGTTTCAATGTGGCTTCTTGCTAACCATGAGGTGCTCCTGACCATTTGGAGCCTGTACCCTCAACTGTATCTCATTTAGTCCCCACTGAGACAGAAGGACAAGGGCCGGAAAGGAAAGAAATCCTAAACAAATAAGCTGCAAGCTATGCTTCTAATACTTTCTCTCTGATCTCATATAGCAATGATTTACATTTTTCGGTAATAAACCATGACGATAACACATATCTGATAATTCAATTAATTATTCTCTGGGGATACATCAGTTGCTTAGCATGCACAAGGTTCTGAGTGCTCCACACCCCCTAGTGTTCAGGACTAGAGGCAGGAGAATCAGAAGTTCAAAGTCATCCTTTGCAACATTGCAAGTTTGGAGCCAGTCTGAGTAACATGTGAGTTTGTCTCAAAAGGAAAAAAAACCCAGCATCACTGAGGCCTAAGAACAACACTGTTCCCCTTAATTTAACAATTATCTGGCAAGAACTGGTTAAATACCTACCCCTGGGACAGTATGATGGAGACCATGGGAAACGCTGTTATCGTGGTTCCTAACTGAAAAGGACTGAGTAACCCTATTAGTGAAGTTGAAATGAATGGACATAGGGATCATGCAGATAATACACGGTGAGTGTTGCACACAACGGCAACACAGCCGTTATCAGAGAACATGGGAGTGAGCGAGCCCAGGGATGGAGCGGACAGAGGGTTGAGAATTAGATTTTGTCAGGAGGGGCGCATGCGATATCAACACGCCGAAAAGAAAGAGCTGTGAGCTATTCCGATTCGTCTCCTTGCTTTTCTCTGACTCAGTGGTTCCATTTGGGTTAATACGATCCCAGAAGCCTCCAGCAGATTCTTATCACAGCCGTTTTGTAATAACTGCTGACCTATCAGTGGGGAATATTGAGAGACACGCACGGAGTATAATTTTTCAGCAGCTATGGGCAGGTGCTGCAGGAAAAGCGGCTTCTCTTTTAAATGTATCAGCAGTTCCTCGTCTGCAGCGCATAAAAGTTACTCACACTTTGTATCCGTGCCAGGGAGATGAAGGCAGCGCGGGCTCCACACACCAGTGGTGAGATGTGTGATTTCACCCTTGGAGAATTTGACAGAATAATCGACTTTGATGATTAATCCATTGTAACAGGAGGCCCGGCATTGGTGGAGATGAATTTTCTGCCTTAAGTGACTCCCCTGTTGTGCTGCATTCTTTAAAATTCTTAGGGAGTTGATAAACTGTGAGAGGGAAAAAGGCCGCAGACTGGGGGAGTCACTCTGATTCTTTCAGACTTGTGAAAAAGCACACGGGGCGATTGCATGTTTTCCTTGGGGGTCTGGATTTGACTCAATCGAGGGGATCTTAGAGGATATATCCCCTTTGGGAAATTCTTGATAAAAAGAATGCATGATCTCACAAAAGGTTGAGGAGATTTCCTGTAAGTCATGGAATGTGTGTTAGAGGGTCTCGGAGATACTGTTGCCATGTTAATTTACCTGACCCAGGATTACTACTTACAGCACATAGATCTCATACACAAGCACACACGTGCAGCACAATACATGTGGATCTGTTTATTCATATACACATGCATGTTAATAAAAGCCACACAAACTTATAAATACACTACATGTCATTTCTTATAGGCCACATAAGGGAGAAACCACTTTCTCTGCCAGCATCTCTGTCCAATGTCCTCCGAATTAATATTTCAAATTATGAAAAATTACCTACGACTTTTAGCAACTCTGTCTTTGAGAGAAAAGAGGAAATGTGTGTGTGTGTGTGAGAGAGAGAGAGACAGAGAGAGAGAGAGAGAGAGAGAGAGAGAGAGAGAGAGAGAGAGAGAGAGAGAGAGAGAGAGAGAGAGAGAGAGAGAGGCTACATATGACTCAGCTAGACTGCATAGGGAATTTTAGGCTTCTTGGCCCAATCTCCAGAAACTATGAATCAGCAGGGCTGGGTCAAGGTCTGAGGAACCTCCAGCACTTACCCCTGCAGGGGAATCTGGAACAGTCTGTCTGAGAACCACACTCTGACAATATAAGAATATCGTAATGGAGTAGGTCAGATGGAGGCTAGGGTTTTAGCCCTCCTGCTCCATGGCTACGCACTAATTAGGCAACACCATTAACGCATGTGAATTTATTTTCGATGCCAGCCTAGTAAAGGTTTGTAATCTGACCCTAACCAAAAAAAGATGTGTGGATGAGAATGTATAAATAGTTACAAATATAAAGGCTGACTTAGTACACAGTACAAACTCAATAATAAAAGAGATACTTGGCTCTCACCATAGCCAGTTATAATGAACTTTCTGGTCCATCCAGCAATTCTTGCATCCATGGTCAATGTAAGATGCAGAGGAGGGACAGCTATACTTTTTGTTTTAAACAGGACTGCTGCTTTCTAGCTCTGGTGTTAACTGTTAGCCAGACTAAAGTGTGGCACCAAACACAAATACCAGAATTCCTCCCTCCGGGATGTGAGCAGTGTATTCACTGAGTAAGGTAATACTTTTAAATGCTACCATGTGACTTTCTCTAAATTTTGCACTTTTCCCAGTGGACTAGCTAGGTGAGTAACATTGTAAGGCCTAATTTACATCGTTACTACGATTTTTTCATTCTTCTGAGGAAGAAATAAACAAACAAACAAAAACCCCCACAATACCTGGTTCTGAGCTCGTGTCAATTTCCGTAGTGTAAATATTGTCACCATGGTCAGTTTCAATTTATCAAAGTGGTGTGATAGCCCTTCAAAGACTTTTTTACTGTATATACTTCTTTACTGGACTGACGTAATAGTTATTACAAACAACCTCAAAATTCATATACCATAGTCTAGTAAAATAATTAGAACTGATAGAATTTGAACAACTATTATCTATCAAAATTCATTTAAAGTTTACATCATTGATTTTTAAATCTTACCGAATTTACTAGCTGAGCAGTTAGTGTAATTGAACTCCAGTAAAACATTTTCACATTAAGAAAGAACACATAGTACGCCTGGAAATGAGAATTTGTGTCAGGCTGTGGATTCTCATGAAGACGCAGTTTTCTCTGTGGGTCAGGAAAGCCACTGAAAGTCTTTTCTTAGATGGGGCTTTTGATATCTAAGAGTATTTAAGGCATGGCTCTGAGGAATAGGAGATGAAGGCTGTACTTAAATTAAGTCAGAAAATTGTCTCAGAAGAACAGAGTATTAGACAACAGTGTTTTTCGGACATGAAATCAGGCAACTCATGAAATCAATCCTTTTATAAAGGATACACTAGAGAAAGGTTTCGCCAACTCTCTAGTAAAGAGTCATAAACTAAACTTTTTGGTCTTTGTGCCTCCAACATTCTTGTTGTTGTTGTTTTTTTTTAATCCACTAATATGACTTTTGTTAGCTTATACAACTGCAATTTGGCAGGTTTATGGTAAGTTAAAAAAAAAAACAAAAAACAAAGCCTTGGTGATCAAACAGATAGGGAGAAGGTCAAGAAACGGGCAGAGCCTGAATGATAACAAAACGTAAGGTTGTCTGATGGGAAGCTGAATGGAAAGAGAGAAAGAGTAATATACCATCATATTGCTGGCTCTAAAGAGTATTCACTTTGCTGGGGATGAGGGTAGGTCTCTAGCATACATGCGTACTACTTCCCTCTTAATGATTCAGAAACAAAGACACAGAGAGGCTAAGAGAAAGTCACAAGGTCATCCACCAAGGATGGTGGATGCTAACGTAATCGGGTGACATAAGCATTGTCTTTGTAAAGCTGTTTCATTAACTACTACATGTGTATAAACACACATTTACAAACACACACAAACACACAAATACATGCACACTGCTTTGTGTCTTTAAACTTTGTGAGTTTTAGGTTATGGTGGAATTCTAGCACTGAACTTAAAATCTATTTCCTAGGAAGTTTTGAAAGAGTAGAAATAATTTCTCTTCCTCTCCACATCTCTCTCCATTTGAGCAGAGAAAACGGTTCTGTTTTCCTTTCATGAATATTAAAAAGAAATTGCTTTTCCTAACCCACTTTGAATTAAGCCCATGCTTGACTTGATTTGTCAAATGTAATATGGGCAGAGGTTATATATTCATTAATAGCCAGTGGGCATTTCACCACATCCCAGCTTCCTAACGCAGTGATCAAAGAAGTCCGTGCTAGGCTCTACTATTCAGGATTCCTCAGTGGAGGCACCAGACGGAACCTCCCTGATGGCCACATTAGGCATGCCATCCAGTTGGAAGGCAAAAGTTGTTATTTCAGACCCATGGAGTTTTAGAGTTAAGGATAATCTAGTCTATGGCAAATATCACACCCGCTCCCATGAATGAATGTTTCGTTTAAAAACAAAGCCTCAGACTGAATAACAGTTAGGGAGCTTTCTCGTCCTTGCAACAACAACACTGTGTAATCCTACTAAACTTGCTAGGGGCATGTGTGGCTTGACCAGACATTAAACAGATTTAAAATATATCATTGCAAGTTTCTGTAACAGACCAAAAAAGTTAGCATAGATTTAATGCTTGAACATTCTTGAAGGAAGCCAAAATGTTTAGAGCCTGCCCCCTGTAATGTGGCTGAGTTTTGAGTTTCAGAATGAAATACAAAACCCGAAGACAGAGTCTCATATTTCACTCTGGAACTACCATGCATCTCAAACTTTCGTATCTTTTTCAGGTATCATACTACAAAAAGTTCCTAAAAAATCTTTTAAATAAATAATGATTCCTACTACCATCTATTAAATTTAGGGTACTCTGCTGCTTTTTGTGTAAAAAAATACACGGTATATGTATATGCCATATATGATGTGTGTATATATATATATGGTGTGTGTGAGTGAGTGTGTGTGTGTGTGTGTGTGTGTGTGTGTGTGTGTGTGTGTGTGTGCTGTAGATGCTGGAGAGATGGCTCAGTGGTTGGGAGCACTGGCAGCTTTTACAGAGGGCCTGAGTTAGATTCCCAGCACCCACATGGTGGCTCACAACCATGTGTGGCTCAAGTCCCCAGGGCTCTGACGTCACTGTTTGGCCTTCCTGAGTGTTGCATGCATATGTTGCGCAGATGTCCATGCCAGTGAAACACATAAAGCCATACAATCAATAAAACATCTGCTCTCTTATGGACTCTCAGTTAAGTTTGGACTCTAAGTTGGGCTTGGCGTTTTGTTGAGTCTGCACTACACTTTATCATCTGCTGTTTTTTAAAATACTGATGTGAGTGCATGCATTTCTCTGGAAGGCTGGGGCTCCGTTGAGGATTATAACCAGCAAGTTACAGACAGATCTGAGTTTCTCCAATGTTTGACTCTTTTGATTTTGACTATGTGAAATTCATACTCCTAACTCAGTGTGGTGACTTATTTTAAAATCCTGGTTTGCCATAAAGCCCAGGTGATGTTATATCATGTTCCCTCCTGCTTCTGCTTCCCAGTTTCTGGAATTAAAAGCATGCACACTATGCACAGCCACTTAATGTGATTATCACTAGTTATTATTATTATTAATATTGCAGTACAGGGATTTTAATCCAGGTTCTTGAGTGCATTAGGTAAGTTAACTATCCATGTACAAGACTTTCAGCCTCTCTAATAAGAAAAATTAAAAAAAAGAAAGAAAACACCTAGGAAAACACTGGTCAACACTGACATAATGATGTACCCTGCATTTTAGTGTTTGGGAGGCTGAGATAGTAAGATCCAGAATTCTTAACCAGTATGAGTGATTATACCCAAATCCTACCGCAAAACAAAGCAACATAAAAGAACAAAAATAGAAAAATATCACCCTGATTCTTTGAAATCCCCATTAAACATATCTAAACCAGTGCTATGGATTATAATCAAATGGACAAAAATAACTTTTATTCTTTATGAGGCTGTATATGAGATTTCCATGCTTAAAAGGATGGATTGGCGAAGCTTCCTCTAAAACGGCTTGCTTAAATCAGGGTGCAAAGCTGCAAGTTACATGTCTCCAAGAAAAAAATTCCACCTCCTTTTACATAACACCTTCCCTAATATATATTTCTAAAATATATTCCTAAAAGAGGCAATATTTATTCCGATACCTCTTTCCATCATAAAACATTGGGACAACTGTCTAAACAACCATCGTGCTATATAACTTGACCCCCGATATTGTTGAAGTAAAGGATAATCGCATTTCATGTGCATCTTTCCTAGGGACTGGTGAAACAACATACTGAGTAAAGGTGCTTGCTTTACCGGCCTGATGACTTGAGTGTGAGCTCCAGAACCTGCACCGTGGAAAGGGGAACTGATTCCTGAAACTTGTCCTCTAACCTCAATGCATACATGGAGTCAGGTATGCCTCCTCCAGCACAAGAAATTTGTGTGTGTGTGCGTGTGTGTGTGTGTGTGTGTGTGTATTAAAACACTCATGCTCTCTGCAATGAATGTTAAGACTCTACAAGTTCATTCTTTTATCTTCAATTCATTATACAGCATATGTTCATAATATAGGTGGTATTTAATTGCTTGCTACAGAATGATCCTTGCCTTTTTAAAAAAGATAATCTTTCTAGATCACAGTTTCTATACTTGTAAAAGTTGTAGCTCCTATCTCTAGGGATCACTGGGACAATAAAGAAAATTCAAAAAAGTAAAACAAGAACATGGAATCTATCATAAGTGTTTGGACGGCACATATTTTTACATATGGGTATTACTCAGTCTTAATATGACTGGAATTGTATTACATGCATTTTCCTATTTACAATGAATATAGTCTATTTTGTCAATTCTCTGATTATTGAG